TGTGTGTGTGCGCGCGCGCGCATGTGTGTCTGTGAAGTGAATTTGGGGTGAATTATCTTGAAGGAGGTAAGGCTTATAGAGGAAACCCAGCAGCTTAAGAAACCCTCAAGCATTTGATATTCTTAATTCTTCTGAGAGACGAATGCCTTCCTAGGGGATAAACTCTCCCGAGGAAAAAGACACTATTGCCTCTTAAAAACAAAAAAGTCCATGAAACCTCAAGTAAGAGTTCTGTCTAAAACCGAAGTGAGGCCGGGAAATTTGCTTGCACATATTTTATTAGCTCTGATAATACAAGAAAAACACACTGGCATTTATCACCTAAGCCTACTCTATACTTACTGCCGTCTAAAATGGTTTAGCAAAGTTTTCAAAAATACCAATCAGTTCTTGGCACCAGAGAGCATGGTTTTTCTCTATCATCTCCCTCAACTTTAGCTCAAATGTTATGGAGAATTCTAAAACACAAAATGAAGTCACAAGTTTGAGAAGGAAAGAGGATTCTCAAAAATGTCAGGTAAATTAAAAACACTTCCACAATTGGTTATTCTATATTTACTCTAGAAGTAAATTTGGAAAAATGAGGTCTGATACCTCTTTTGCATAATAAAGAGCAGTCCACTTTTCTAAAAAATGAAATACTTCCATTCTTCCAAGAAACAGATAGTTCACATAATCAATCAAAAGGGAAGAAACCTAGGAATCTGCTTTTAAATAATCTGGATGTCTGGGGCACCTGGGTGGCTCAGTCGGTTAACCTTTTGCCTTTGGCTCAGGTCACGATCTCATGCACAATTCAGGAGTTTGAGCCCCACGTCGGGCTCTGTGCTGACAGCTCAGAGCCTGGAGCCTGCTTGGGATTCTGTGTTTCCCTCTCTCTCTGCCCCTCCCCAGCTCGTGCTCTTTCTCTCTCGCTCAAAAATAAATAAACATTAAAAAAATTTTTTTTAAATAATCTAGATGTCTTTCTTTTATTTTAGTCTCCAACAAAACATTTGGGCGCAAAAAATTTTCAAGATTGTTAATTCATTAGCAAAAAGTTGTCAAATAAGTATTCCTGAGATCACTATACTTTTTATGGAAGCAGTGTCTCCTTTGTAGGCAACACAAACACACCCACCAAGTCAAGATAATTACCCTGCCAACTTCTCAAAATGAACAATGTTTTAACAGGGTCAAAAGCTGGCAAAATGCCAGCCAGTGGGGACATCGCAATGAAGGCTGGGTTTTCTTGAGGGCGTGGAGAATGGCCCTGGCCCTCAGCCGGAGTGAAGGGCAGAGTCCTCGTATACTGAGATGTCAGTAGAGGCAAAAAGCAAACCCAAACCAAAAACCATGGGAGGTTTACAGAATATTTAGGAATCGGTTCAAAGAGTAAATTTCTAAAGCAGAAAATCCGGGAGGCTGTCAGCTTTCAAAAGCATCTCACAAGCGCTGCCGGAGATAAGCTCTGCAAGCGGAGGAGGCAAACACACTGATCTCCAATATGGAAAGAAGGCAACAACGTTACACAACTACTGACGTGATCTGGAAACAGTACTGGAGACCACAAAGTCACTGTGTTCGTGTCAGCATCCTGATTACCCTGACAAATATCCTTCTCCCCGCTTTGTGGGGGAAGAATTCAACAGAACTAAGAGACTAGGAAGACAGCAACTTTCTTAGAGAAAAGAGACTGGCATACAGGAATATAAGAATAAGGGAACAGAAAAAAACCCCACAATCGAATTCTTTATTGGTCTTTTGAATTTCCTTTTATCCCTTTGAAAAATAAAGTCAGACTGAAGGAAAGAGCACTTTTTGCTTGCTGAAAAAGTTGGAACATAACACAGCCACTGGTGAAGACAAATCAACCTTTAATGGAAGTAGAGAATGTTGGAAGAAAACGTATGAGAAGGCAGAATTTGGCTATTTCTAAATAGTAATTCTGTAAAAACAAATGTATTTTTCTATTCTTCAAAAATTAAAGAGGTCCTAGGCATAATATTAACAATAGCTTTGTTAATGTACTTTTCTTATCCTAGTTCAAGTTTTAAACACTTCAACTTTGGTGCTTTTAAAAATAATGCCCCAAAAGACACTGTTTTCTAAATTGTTCCAAGAGATTATAAATTGGAATGCACGCTAATGGAAGTACAAACTACTCAATTTGGATAAGGCATACTTAAGGTACTAAAACAGTAAGGTAGTATTTTCATATTCTGTGTAATCTGGCCTACATTCACACAGAACACTGAAAGTTGCTGAAGTTCTATTACACAATTTTAACTGCATTTCATGTTAGTTACATATATATGTATACATGTATATAATATTTATTAGAGAGAGCATAAAATGTAATTTTTTAGTTGGTCCACATTGCAGAAATAGCAAGGGTTTGCACTGGGAAACTTAACGGAGTCATGCATGTAGGGTAACGCGCTGCCCTCTAGTGTCATTTTAGCTCTAAAACCTTGAAAATAGAACACTTTTTATTTGATTTTGAAATGTTACTCAAATTAATTTACACTGAAAGTATTTTAAAGTAATACACAAAAGCAATCATCTCTACTTTATGTGCTAAGAAAAATCTTCAAATATCTAGTAAAGGTCGGCTCCAGGGACCATCAGCCACTCACAACAAAGCCAACGGGAGGAGAGGAACGAAAATGTGCCAGCTCTCTGCAACACCTCTTTTAGTTTTCAGAACATACACTGAAAGACTACTCTCGTGCTATTTTGGTGTCCTGCTTCCCCCAAGTGACAAGAAACACTAGAAATGACACAGTTCTAGATGCCTGCACAATAATAACAAGATGGGTCTTCAAACAGAACCTAAAAAAGGCCTTCGGGAAAACACTGACAAATCTCCACTGCCACTCATTCCGTGAACCTCCACTGTGTGCTAACATACCCGAGGAAGGACCCACTCTAGAAGGAAGAGAGTCTTTAAGTTGTATTTCCCTCTACTGTTTTATCTCATCACATGCCAACGGCCATACGGAACACACTATGTCTTTGAAAGCCATTCACTTAAAGATGGCTGGAACATGAACTTCCCTCACATTGCTGATCAGAGAAAAACTAAAAAGCTAATTCAGCTCACGGTGTAGACGTGAACATCTCTACATGGCATTAGTTATTTTATGTCAGGTAGCTTCACCTGGCTCTATCTGAATTTCTGTGTGTCCATCCTGGCTATGCGGTCCACATGAAGACTTATATTCAGTAATGTTTCATTAGATACTTTTTTCTGGTCTTCTGAAAACTAAAATAACCATAATTTTACTGAGCCCCCGATAGTGATAAAAGGAAAAAAGCTATATGAGATTAGGCTTTGCTGATGTTAAAATACCATGCTATAAATGTCTTCAAAAAGGTCTGCTAATAAGAATGAAGCATTAAAAATTCTCCCAAAGGTGTAAAGAATGAACCTGAATTCTGAAAGCTGATGATCAAATTTCTAAAAAGAATCTTCCATTTGTAACACAATTCTCTCGTTCTGGTAGGTAGGGTTACAGAATGTCAAGCATCACATATAAGTGATGCAATCTTAATTTTTATCATTGTTTTACTCCATGTAATGTGGCAAAGGATTTTTACTCTTTCCACAACATGGTCATCATAACCAATAAATTCTTCCCACTTATACTGGAATGATTTCTTCCTTATTGGAACTGATTAAGGTTCATTTCTAAACGGACTACATGTGTTATTCAGTGCTTACTAAGTATGAAGTATATGCCCATTTACTACTTTAAAAGAGAATCTTCCATGACTTTAGACATTAAAAAAAAAAAATCAACACACAATTCTGTATATCGACCATTAATTTTGTACCTCAGCTTCCATGGTTAAGTTACTGATAATTTTATTAATCATATTTTTATATATCATGGAATCACTACCTAATTTATAGTTAAATGAAATTTATTATTATTGTCCACTTCAGTGTCTTAAAACTTTTTCAGAATGAAATGTGTTTAGAAAAGGAATCCATGTGAGAAACGTCACTTGGGCAACTCTGCTAAGAACCATAAAATGATGTTATAGAGAACGACTCCATAGAGTGGAGACATGTTGGTGTATCTGTACAAAAAGAGAAATCTGTAAAACCCAAACTTCTAACCTCAATAAAGCATTAAGATCCATGTAAGCTTAACATTTTCATCTGACTGTTCCTAGTTTTGGTAAAGAAGAAAGGAAAGAAACTAGTATTTGTTCTGATCTACTATGAACCAGGCATCATGCTGGGTATTCTCTGTATGCCTCCCAATCTTTGTGGTAAAAGATGCTGGGCTCTCAACATCCCCTTTCTACCGTGATGTGGAAACAGGGTTAGAGAACAGAGAAGTTAGTTCCCCACATCTCACCAGTTAATCAACGTTGGGTTGGGCTGCGCTTTCCCACTAGGACAATGCTCTCCGAGAGTTCCCCCCTCTCACAAATTGGAGGGAGAATCAACAGGAGTCAGCAACTAAGGCTCCACAGCCACTAAGACAGTGATTCTTAAATGAGAGGATGAGGAAGCCCTGAAGTAAGAGCTCCTGAGGAGATCCTGGTAACTGCCAGCCCAGAACCCAGTTCTCACCCTACAAATGATGCCCAGGAAGTCAAGGGACTTCAAGAACCCAAAGGTACTGGGCAAGGTAGCAAGAGTGGCCACAAGGTCCTTGGCTCTCAGCCCCCAGGCCTTCCCACTCTCCTATGTAGCCATCTGCGTTATTATTACTGCACGAGCTGAAGCAAATTTCTAGTTCAAAACCACTTGGAAAAAAAGCGTGCACGAAAAAAGTACAAATATTATATAAACACATTATATAATATTCATTAATAAGACAAACAGAATTAGTTAATGCATTAAGGGCCAAAGTATAAATGAAAACTGTATGAATTATCCCTATTCTGCAAAATCTATCCAAGTGATTATTTACTTTAACAACTACAAGTAGTAAAATACCACTTTTATAAGTAGCAAAAATAATTTAAACATTTAAAATAGCTCACGATCTTAAACTTACCTTAAGCCATAGCAAGGCAGAGTGAAGAGCCTGAATAGTGCCAGGAAAACTCTTAAAGGAAGCAGGGTGAACACATACAGAAATGCATCCAGGCACAGAAAGATTCCAAAAACCATGAGCTGGATTTTAAAAGGAGAGAAGAAAACAAAAAAAAAAAAAACAAAAAAAAAAAAAAAAAAAAAAAAAAAAAAAAAACAAAAAACAAAACATAAATATTCTCTAAACAACTGTAGACGAAAATTTCAAATGAGGAATTTCTAAACTCGGTCGGAGATTCGGTACTCATAACTCAGCTATGCGAATAACAAGTAAATCATTGTACATGTGCCACATTTAATGATGAATCCCTTTTCAAAGTGCAGGTTTGTAGTTCTCCCCACAGAGCCTTTGGTGTACCACCTGGAGAAGTCAATTACTCAAAAGACAATCTGCTCCGACCATGACTATGAAACACCTGATGTGCACCTCTTCAGACTTTAAAGATACTGTTGAAAATCTTTCAGATAAAGTCTTTAACTTTACTCTTTCTGATTTTGCTGTCTCCTGTTTATCAGAGTGCTTCGTGGATGGGGAAAGACTAGGACATATACTGGGCTCAAACACTGTCTTTTTTTTTTTTTTTTTTTTTTTTTTTTTTATGTTTATTTTTGAGGGAGATTGAGTGCAAGTGGGAGCGGGGCAGAGAGAGGGTGGGGACACAGGATCCGAGGTGGGCTCCATGCTGACAGCTCAAACTCACGGACTGTGAGATTATGACCTGAGCCGAAGTAGGACACTTCACCAACTGAGCCACCCAGGTGCCCCTAAAATACTGTCTTTATGTCACAAATGTGTAAAGGGATTACTAATTCTAACACAATTTCACATGCACTCAAATTTGTTGTACTTAGAAGGCATTATATTTTTAAGTTTTTTTAATTTATTTTGAGAGAGAGGGACTAACAGCACAAGAGGGGGAGGGGCACAGAGGTGGGGAGACAAAATCCCAAGCAGGCACCTCGATGCCAGCATAGAGCCCCATGTGGGGCTCGATCCCATGAACTGTAAGATCATGCCCTGAGCCTAGATCAAGAGTCAGATGCTTAACTGACTGAGCCACCCAGGTGTCCCAGAAGGCACTATTCTTTTTTTTTTTTTTTTTTAACATTTATTTATTTTGAGAGACAGAGATAGAGCACGAGGTGGGGGGAAGGGCAGAGAGAGAGAGGGAGACACAGAATCCCAAGCAGGCTCCAGGCTCCGAGCTGTCAGCACGGAGCCCGACACGGGGCTCGAATTCACGAACCACAAGATCACGACCTGAGCCGAAGTCGGACACAACTGACTGAACCACCCAGGCGCCCTAGAAGGCATTATTCTTAATTGGAGGAGTAGCTGCTAACGTTTGCATCTCTTCCTCTTTCTTGTTCCCTTGCCACATCCTTCCTATTTTTTAGTAATGTTATGCATTTGTCCTGTTAAATGCATGACATATTTTGTAGGAAGGTGGAGTTTTTTGATGGCTTGGAGAAGTAGCCACACCTAGGAGACCAAACTCTGCTCTTGTAGGAGCGGTGACTTTCTGGGTCTGACACACAAGCACGGTGAGATCCCAATGTCCTCACACGTTAACACTCCATGAAACCTGAGGTAATGAACTATCCTATGTAAATACATTAAGTAGTTTAAAATTCACAATGTTATGGGCAGAACTGTGTCCTCCCCAAATTCCTATGTTGAAGCCCTAACGCCCAGGACCTCAGAAGGTGACCATGTTTGGAGGCAGGTTCTTTATATTTAAAGAGGTAATTCAGTTAACATAAAGTCATTACAGTGAGTCCTGATCCGGTATGACTGGTGTCCTTATTAGATGCGGAAATCTGGACACAGACACAGACAGAGGAAAGATGATACAAATACACAGGGAGAAGACATCATTTTGTAAGCCAAGGACAGAGGCCTCAGAAGAAATGCACCCTGCGGACACACAACCTGATCTCGACTTCTAGCCTTTAGAACTGTGGGGAAATAAAATTCCTGTTGTTTAAGCCCCCCCCCTGCCCCCCAGGTCTGTGGTGCTCTCGTAAAGAAGCCCTAGCAAACCTTTAAAAGAAGAAAGGACACATTAATGTTTTGCAAAATGTCTCAAAAGAATATATACATATACGGACGAGGTTTCTTAATCAGAATACAGACACCCTAACAGCTGTTCTGTTTTTTTAAAACAATGTAGGCTCACTACGAACACCGAGGGGAGGACAGAGTCATGTGCTGCGAACCACGTTCCAGGGTTCCCTCCGTGGCAGCTGGTCCGTCAGGTGTCCTGTCTGCCAGCACTGACCTGCATCTGCTTCCTGGTTTCACGTGCAAAGGAGTGTTGTAGGAGACTGAGCACGGTCCACGTAAAGCTCGTGGCCCTTATTTACTGCTCTCTCGTCACCAAGAAGCCTTTCTCTGTTTCCTGGTGGACCGTTGGTTGCCCTCCAAAGGCAGAAACTACTAGAAGCCTGCACATCCCAGAAGGTAATTTCGGTGTGCATGCAACTCAGGAGACGGCACGCTGGGCAGGAGACTAAGTGGTCGTCTTTCTCGTGACCTTACACTGGGGAGGAGCACGTTACTCATTCATCCAACACCCACTAAGCTGTGAATATGGGCCACGTAACGAGCTCAGCCCGCCAGGCGTGACACCAGGATACGATTTCTGCCCTCACTACACTTATTCAATTTTAGCACACAGACACCCACAGAGACTGCTGCTACAACAGAACCAAGTTTACTAGGAACAGGGGAGCCCTGGAGAGAGAATGGCGGAACCAACTTGGGGAGATGCAGGAAACACTCCAGGGGAGACCCTTAAAGACGTGTGAGAAGATGAGGGCTACTGCCACATGGAGAGGATACATTGGGCAGAAGTCAGGGCGGGGAGGGGAGGGGGAAGAAGTTTCCAGAGGGAGGAAGCAGAGCAAGGGCACAGAGGAGGAAAGAAATTATGAAGACTGTAACTTTCTCTTAAAGAATAAAAGTGCAGTCACCTAGGGGCGCCTGGGTGGCTCAGGTCTTGATCTCACGGTCTGTGAGCTCGGGCCCCGCCTCGGGCTCTGTGCTGACAGCTCAGGGCCTGGAGCCTGCTTCAGATTCTATGTCTCCCTCTCTCTCTGCCCCTCCCCCACATGCACTCTGTCTCTCTCTCTCAGCCTCTCAAAAATAAAGAAAACTAATTTAAAAAATTAAAAAATAAAAAAAGTGCAGCCACCTCTCTCTGGCTTAGAGGAATTAGTATTCACAATTGTTCACGGTGAGCAAGAGTATCAGAGGTCTACTGGCCTTTCTCTTTGGATTTTATTTTGTTTTGTTTGTTTATATATTTTAATGTTTATTTATTTTTGAGAGAGAGAGCACAAGCAGAAGAGGGGCAGACAGAGAGGGAACACAGAATCTGAAGCAGGGTCCAGGCTCTGAGCTGCCAGCACAGAGCCTGACGTGGGGCCTGAACCCAGGAACTGCGAGATCGTGACCTGAGCTGAAGTTGGACCTTTAGCCGGCTGAGCCACCCAGGTGCCCCTCTCTTTGCATTTTAAACCAGCCCAGCAAACCAAGCGGGCAAGCAATAATGTCACACAGCATGCTAACCGTGGACTGTCTGGAGCTGTCGACATAAACAGACTGCAACAGAAAAATGGAAGGAGGGCAAGTGGCTGCGGTCTAAGGAAATTTCAGCTGGGTGGGGAGAAAGTACTCATGTAGTGAGAACACACAATGCACAAGAAAAGCAACACAAATGCCTTTCAGGGTTTGGAAATGTGGGAGAGTGGACTCAACTACCGTCCCTGCTGTTTGGAGGTTGCACTTTCTCAGAGAGCAAAGATTCTTTTAAATTCCTTACGAGAAAACTTCCTAATAAACAGGATGTGATCCTAAAACCATTCATCCTCGAAGGAGGTAAAGCCAGCATGCGAGGTGCTGCGTGAGCCTGGAGCCCCGCGGGACACTCACCGCATGGGTATTTCTCAGCTAATTCACGCGGCCACTCCGGAGTTTGGGGGGGCTGGACAGCAACGTCACCCGTGCTCACACCAGCCAGCCACAGTGGTAAGAGCCTGCTACTTCATCCTCCTGACAGCTCTTTGAGGTAGTTATTACCATCCCTACTGGCCACTTGAGGAAACCCCACTTCTGGAAGCTGAATGCTTGCCCAAGGCTGCGGGTCAGAGTAAAAGAACTGGCGTTCAAGCCCGAGTCGTCCTGACCCAAGGCCCTACACGCTCTGGTCGAAGCAGTTTGAGCAGAGCCAAAAGAACTTACGCCCTGTTTTCACTAGACCTATGGATTAACACGGTTTTCTTGGTGCTAACTTTTCTTCTGCTAACTTACCTAGTGTCATTAAAAAATGCAAATAAGACATTTAATGACTCGAACTTATAAAAGGCAAATAAATTTCACATATTGAGATTTATAGCTAACTTTGAAAACACGTTACTAAGAATTAAAAGCAGTGGGTGTGGTATATATTAGGAAGGGAATGATGTGTACTTTCACACCTTCAGTTACTTTGCATGGCATCTTGGTAAAATAGGCCCTTCCGATTTCCTCTCTCTTTGGACCCAGAGTGATCAAGCAGTCTGAAGCAACGCCTAACGAAAATCCCTCCGAAATATCCAAGGTATGACTGTAGTGGAATCGGTGTCATGTACCACGCTCTGTTTCCCTTTTGAGAAACACAAAAGCCTCCTGCCCTCCTTTAAATGCCACTTGCAGACTCAAAACAAAACAAAACAAAACAAAACAAAACAAAACAACAAAAAAAACCCCACTACGTTCTAACTGAAATTAAACAGCACAAGGCTTTCTGACTGTGCCTCTTTTTACAGCCCGGGTGCAAATCTGTCCCACCAGCTAGCAGTCATGCCTTGTGCACTGGACCCTCGCTGGGCTCACCCATTTCTCCGTCGTCCTCGCCCTCTGCAGCACCGCCACCCCAGGCTCAGCACGCTTTACCGTCTTGTGGATTTGGATCTCATTTCATGCCCATCTCACCTTTACAGGGCAGCCCTTAGAATGAATACATCACCTCTTCACACTGACCACTACATAAATAACAAAGAGCAGAAAATGAAAATACGGCAAAGAACCAAAGCAT